CACAGCTGGAATGTGGTGGGGCCATGGCTTTCCCTCAATCTGTGCGACCCTGAAGCCTGAGCTGGCAACACGATGGGGTCCTGTTGGTCAGGGTAAGTCTCAGGGGCATGCGTGGGGGAAAGAGGGGTGCAGGGAGCAAAGGCCGGGAGCCTTGGAGGAATTTTCGGGAAGGGGTGGAAGTGAGATGGGAGGGACCTATGGAGAAGGTGGGGAGAATGTGCAGGTGATTCTAGAAGTAGGACCCATCGGGGAAGGACGGACAGGGCAGTGGCTCAACCCTGGGCAGGAAGGCCTCCTATGGCACCTCAGACAATTCATTGTCCAGTACTGACTTCCCACTCTGCTGGGCTTGAGCTGGGCCACCTTGGTACATTCTGCTTTGCCTGGAGCACGGACTGTGTGCTAGAGCTGTGCCAGGGAAGACGGGCTTTAGGGCACCTGGGCCAGAGTGGGGTCTACGGACCCATCCTCAGGGCAGGGGAAGCCACGGAAGGGCCCAAAGAGTGCCCAGGCTGTGGTCAAGTGCAGCTGGTAAAGAATGGATTGGAGCATATGGTGGGAGTTTGTGGGGAAAGATGATGTAGGGAAGGAGGCCTGGAGATAGAGCACAGACATCAGAGATCAAGAAAAGCCCTCCAGCACCAAAACCTGCTCTCCGGCCAGCGAAGGCAGATTCCAGAGCAGGCAGAGAAGTATCCTCTATGATGTAATTTCCCTGAGCAGGAAGTTCCCTGGTTATTTAATAATAATCGCTGTCATTTATTAATCCTTCACTCCCTGGCAGACACTTTACATATTTTATTTCTAATTATCCCCATTTCATACATAAAGAAGCTGAGGCCCAGGAAGATTAGGTAACATGGCTAAGAAGTGGCTAGGCCAGAAGTCAAACTGAGTTTGAAGTTTCGACTCCAGGTTTTTCCAAGATGCAAATCTGCCTAATATCCTGCAAAAGGCTAAAGATCCTAAAACATTTTACTATGCCTATTTTATTTTATTTTATTTTGCATAGGCAACATACACATTTTGTATGAAAGAGTGTAGGTTTATCAATATCTCCCTCCTTCCCCTGTTGACAAGCCACCCAGGTGTCCTACCTGGACACTAGGACAGTTAACAGTTTCTTTTGGGCTCTTCCTGAGATAGCCTACGCATTTATAAACACACTCACACATGTGGATTTCTTCATAAAACGAAGTATACCGTATTATATATGCTGTTATGCATTTTGCTTTTTTCCGCTTAACTTGTACGCAAAGGGTTGAACCTACTTGGTTATGTACAAAGGTGAGTTTCTTTCTGTCTTTGCAATCTCTCGGTAGATTGCTTGAGATGCGTATCACGTTCTGGTTTAATGCTTATTCAATCATAAAACTGTTTTCTTCATCTACTACCTTTGTGGAGAGGATTTTTGGGTTGGAAGAAGATTTTGTTTTAATTGTATATCTGCAGGTTGAGCGTGCCATGCTACCGCTCTGATCCTTACTTTTCTTTTTTGGAAAAACACAGATAGCGCTACTCCCGCCCCCTGAAGGGTGATTCGGAGGGAAATGTAAGATTTGGCATGTGCATCTCCTCGCTGCGGGGCTGGCACAGGGTGAGGCTCAGTGACCGGCAATAGTGGCTACTTTTCCCCTAATATCACTGGTTTCCTTCTTCCTTTGGCACACGGTGTGGCCGCCCGGCAGCTAGCATGGTGTGAACTCCGCTGCCCGAATGCACAGGCGGGAGGTCACATGGGCCAGCTTCAAAAAACTCTTGGCTCTGCCACTCATAGAGGTACAGGCTTAGGCAAATCTCTTCAGCACTCTGAGACTCAGTTTCCCTCTCTGCAAAACAAAGGGCTTTCAGCTGGCTAACCTTCAAGGGCCTTGTTGCCTGCAATGACCTATGTTCATCTGACTGGCTTTTGTCTGTAATGGGGTCTGTGAGCCGGAGCCCAGGCACGGCATTCTAGCCACTGCTGCCTTCCTTCCCTCCTCCAGGAAGCCTTCCCTGAACCACCTCATCCCTGTGGCTGGGCTAGGAGAACGTCTGGAATCCCACGGCTCCTGTATGTCGAAAGAGTCTATTTGCTGAGGCCAAGATCAAGTTTTCTCAGTAGCTGCCCAGTGCCTGGCACAGAATGATGATCACATCCCAGTAACTGTGTGTGTGTAGCCCTCCCCATGTCCCCAGCATACAAGATTCTCCTGCACAGGCCTATGGGTACTGGCGGAGTATTGATGTCACTATCCCCTTTAAAAGAAAAGGAAACAGGCTCAAAGAAATGAAGCCACCTGCTTATTTGCACATGGCCAGAAGTGGATGAGCTGGGTTTCAAACGCAGGTGTCTGTCTAAGAGCCGTATTCCATCATATGGTCACCCAAGCTTTTCTTGGTGACCTGGTCTTCCCTCTGAACACCATCCTCTCATCTCCTCTTCCCCATCAGTCCCTCCAGATCCATTCTCCGCCCTTCCCGGGCCTGCCCTGTGCCTGGCCAGGCTGCTCCCGGCTCCTTTCAGCCCTGGCTTCCTGGTGAGTCTGCTCAGTGGGATTGGAGGCCCGGAGGACAGTGAGCTCAGCCTTCCCTCCGCCCCCCCCGCTGTCTCCCTGCTGTCCTGGCAGCGGCTGCCTTTCTCTACTGGGCCCTTCTGTCCTCCAGGCAGGCCCTCGCCCGGGCTGTGGTTCTCTGGGTTCCCCTAACGCTCCTCCCTCCTGCGCCCCTTCACGCCCAGGCGTGGTCACTGGCTGCCACCATTGCTAACCACGGATGCTTGCAGCCCCTGCTCAGTAAACAGGCCCTTCCTTAAACCCCTTCCAAACCCCTCTCTGAATGTTGTCCTTCAAGCCCGCTCCCTTGAGCGGGCCAGCTGTTTCTTCTCCAGACCCTGATTGCTACATGTGCCCCAGCTACACCCCCATTTCCCTTTTTCTGCTGACGCACTAAGAAGTCACGCAGCCTGGCCAAACTGCAGCTCCGCACGTCCACTCTCTGGGTTATTAATGGTCTAATGATGATAAGGCATTATATGTCACCTAAACGTTCGTACCCCAGGAATATACTGAAATAAAAAAAAAAAAGAAACTGAAAAAAATCATAAAAAAATAATGATGATAGAATGGGTAGTGTGAGCCACATTCATTTCTTGAGCACCTGCAGCAGGGCAGGCACAGAGACAGAGTCAGGGGTGCAGTGGCGAGCAAGAGACCCCGTGCTTTCCTTTGAGGGGCATCCTGTCTAGTGACAGCTCCTGTCTCCAGCAGTCACTAGAGCAAGTCACTGGCCCTCCCAGGAGCGTGGCAATCCACGTGATGGTCTTCTAGATAAACAAAGGCGTTCTCTGGCCTCTGCTGACCTAGGGGCTCTCGGACATCGTCTTGGGTGGCAGGAACGCATCATGCTGCTGGTTCCCCTCAAACCCCAGGAGGGTGCAGGTTGCTGGGGGCTACTCAGCACCTTTCAAGAACAGCTGTCCCCTTCTGGCTAATGAGGGGCAGAGTCCCAGACTGATGACTGGCTGCTGCGTGTGGCTTCTTGCAGCAACCAGCTCCACGGTCAAGGGGTTGCAGTCTGACCTCCCTTGCCCTGCAGTCTAGCCTGAACAGCATTTCCGGGTCATCTGTATATTTCTACATTTTACAAGTGTTGGCGTGTGGCCACGGATGCTGCTGCCTGTGTCACAGTCTGTTGACTCTGGCGGGGCGGTTACAGATTAGCCATGGCTTGTGCACGGTGTCCCCGCTCTGAAGCTGGCGGGGACTGCTTAGAGACGAGGTTTCCAGTTAAGCCAATGGAAAAGCCTGTTTTCTCCTTTGGAATTTAATACTTTGGACTGAAACTAAATCAGCCGTCATAGATTATGAAGGAGCAGTTTACTACTTGAATGATGCATTCTTGACGCTTTGGGGTACATTTCTGACGTTCATAGTCTGGAATTATGTTTTCCCCTTAACACCTGCACCCCACCCCCACCATTGCTCTCCCTGGACTCTGTATTCCTTTCTTGACTAAGCTTCTCCCCAGCTTCCAGCCAGACCTTAGACATAGACAATCATGTGGTATATAGGGAATACTACTCAGCCACAAAAAAGAATGAAATAGCGTCTTTTGCAGCACCTAGAAACTGGAAGCCAGTATCCTAAGTGAAGTGTCTAAGGAACAGAAAAATAAATGCAGCATGTTCTCACTTACAAGTGGGAGCTAAGCTATGCTTAAGCATGGCCACATAGAGTGACTTAATGGGCAGAAGTGGGGAAGGTAAGAAAAGGGTGAGGGTGAAAAAATGACCTACTGGGGACAAGGTACACTACTTGGTTGATGGGTGTACTAAAAGCCCAGACTTTACCACCATACAATTCATCCATGTAACAAAAAACCATTTGTACCCCCTAAATCTATTGGAAATTAAAAAAAAAAATTTAAACCCAAGAAAGGGAATTGGGTAAATAAATTATAGCATACACACACAGGAATATGTGTCTATATCATGCTGATGTGAATTTATTAACATAAAAATAAAATTGTAATATACTAGGAGATTCAGAATAATCCCATTTTATTAAAAAGAATATGGAATTATATAATCCAAACTGTTAACAGTGGTCATCTCTAAGGGGTTTTGGGTAATGATGATGTTCTTCCTTCCCTTAGCTATGTTTTCTAACTTTTAAAAATGACCATGTGTTAGTTATATAATTTAAAAAGTTTTTTTTTTCTAATGAAAAGAAATGTTCCCGAATTATCAGTACACTATGATTATAATCATCTAAAAATACGGGCCTTGAAGTTATTCCCATATAAACAAAAGGGGCACTTCATTCCCTGGAAAGATTGAGAATAAAAGCCAAATTGAACTTCTCCACCCCTCCTCGTCTGCATCTCCCTTGCATGTGTGGAAGCAAGTCAGGAATGTGATGCATCTGGAGCTCTGTCTGTCCTCGGTCCAAAGCTGCCATAGCTGCCACGGCCCGTAAAGCATCTGCTGTCCCCCCAGGTCACCGCGCAGCCTTGCTTACCTGCAGCTGGACACAGGCCTCTCCGTGGGCCCGGAGCTGGCTGACGAGCAGGTAGGTGGTGAGCCCTGCCAGGAACGGGAGCGACACCAGGAAGCAGGAGAGAGCCCAGCGCATGCTGCCCCTGGCCTTGGGCCTGCAGCCACCGTCCTCGGGCAGCATTTCCATGCTGGCCGTTTCCCCAAAGCCCAGCCCCAGATGCTCCGCCATGCTTCTCCTGCCCGTGCTGGAGGCGCCTCTGACTCCCGGCCAGAGAGACCCCCCATTAAATAGAAGCCCAGCTCTCATAGTGGGTGAATTATTCACTGCCTACTCCTCCCCTTTTCCTCTCTCCAGCCCCGCTGTGAGCTGTGAGCGCACCGGCCCTGCCCTGCTAGGGAATGTACCGCCTACAACAGAAACTAAGTTAGGTTTAAGGGGGAAAAAAAAAAAAAAGAAGAAGAAGAACGCTTTCCCAAGCATATTTATATACAGTATACTCATGTGCTCTTTCCTTCGTTTACAGAAGGAAGTTAGGAAAGTCCCCGGAGGAGGAGAGAAAGAATTCATCAAGTCAGTGGGTGGAGCCAATTAAGATATACCTGGTCCCCGTGCTGTGCTGGAGGCCTGGCAGCCGTGCCAGTCTGGGAGTGAGCTGCTTCTGGAAGTGAAAGTGAGGGCTGGGGGTGGGGCTGTGGCTTGCAGACTGGGAGGTGGAAATCACGTTTGCAGCAGCCCCGTGCAAAGTTCTGCCCAGCCCTCTTCCGCTGTGAACCTCATGGGGACTCATTCCCGTTGTCCAGATGGGAATGGCAAAGTTCTGAAAGGCGAACGCACTTGCCCTAGGTCACCCGAGGATCGAGGCAGAGGAGCTGGGAAGATGACCTAGTTCTTCGAAATCATGGCTTGGGGTTCTGGCCTCTACCATACAACTGCCTATAAAAGGAAAGTGTATTTCTAGCCTGCATTGAGCATTGTCCAAGCAGAGGGCGTGCGGGCGTAAGTAGAGGTGTCTGTCCGTGCGGGCAGGATGTTGACTTCCGCTCCCTGATTAACATAAAGTTAGTTGATCACCAGTGATATGCCTCGCCACAGGCGGGTGTGCACTGTGGCCAGGACATGTAACAAAGGATTACATTTGTTAAGCACTCACTTTGTGCCGATCACTGTTCAAAGTTCAATGTGCTAATAAAATTATTTCATCTTGAGATAACTTGTGTGGTAGTAAAGTTATTATGCCCATTCTACAGATAAGAAAATGAAGCCGAGGGAGTAAGTGGTAAAGGTGGCACTGGGCCTTAGGCAGGCTGGCTCCCGAGCGTCTTCACCACCAGACGGCACTGCGTGTGTCACTGGCCAGCGCGGTGCACAGTCACCTGTGCCCACCTGCCCGGGGGGAGGGCGTCCCCTCCAGTGAGGGGTGTGGGGAGGCTTCCTGGAGAAAGAGGAGGTGCTGGGACTGGGAGCCCAGGGAGGAGTGGTCTCAGAAAGGAGCGGAAGGCCCTGCAAAAGCATGGGTCCCCGAAATAGGAAAGCTTAAGGGACGGCTGTGGCGTCTGGAGGGGACCAGTTTGATTAGAGCCTCCACTCAGTTGCTACGTCAGCTTGTAGCACAGCCCAAACCCTTCAGGCTACCTGGAAAGGCCTTTCATGGCCTGGTTTCTGCTCCCTGTCACCCCTCCCCAGGGACCAGCCTCGTCTCTTACTGCTCTCCCAAGCTTCGGTCCCCGATAGACTGCGGGTGGCTGTCCTGTTGCACGAGCTGTTCCCTCTGCTGTGGGAGCTACCAGTCCTGTCCCTTCCTACCGCCATGCTCCCCTAGACCCTGACTGTGTGCACAAGCCTTTCTTGCATTCCCCTGCCTCCAAGATCGGGTAAGATGCTCATACTCTGTGTTGAACTCTTCATGCTAGACTGTGTTTGACTACTTTTCTGTCTCCCCCATTAGACCATCAGATCTGGGAGGGCAGGTACTAAGTTGTGTCTTTTTTGCATGGCTGTTGCTCCTGACATATTAACTGGCCCATAGGGGAGAACTCATAACTAACGTCAACTGAAATAAGCATCTGACATATTTGCAAAGAATTCCAGCAAAGAGTGATTTTTGTGTCCCGTGGTTACTCATTCTTGGTTTAACACATCTATTAAGAAACTTCTTTGAGAGTAACCTAAATCTTTGCTATTGTAACTTAAGCTTTCTTTTGATGACTGAGTAGTATTCCCTGGTATGGAGGGACCACAGTTTGACTATTCACCCATTGAAGGATACTATGGTTATTTCCAGTTTTGAGTTATTATGAATAAAACTGTTAGGAATATTTATGCACAGGTTTTTGTGTGAACATGTTTTCATTTTTCTGGTATAACTTCCCAAGGGTGAAATTGTTGGGATATATGGTAAGCATGGGTTTAATTTTGTAGGTAACTGTCATACCCTTTTCCAGAATGGTTATATCATTTTACTTCCCACCAGTGAATATGTGAAAGATATGATATCCTCGCTCTTGCATTTGATATGTATCACTATTTTTTGTTTTAGCCATTCTGATAGGTGAGTAGCAATATCTCACTGTGGTTTTAATTTGCATTTCTCTAATGGCTAATAATGTTGAGCATGTTTCATGTACATATTTGCTGTCTGTGTATCCTCTTTGTTGATGCAGACATATGTCATATGTTTTTGGAGGCCACAAAGTTCTTGCTTCCTTCTTGATTCTCAGTGGACTCAAAGATGGGTCACTGCACTTGAGTGCCAAGTGGGTCACTTCACCTACTATGTGCCAGTGTTCTAAGTAGTGAGGATAAAGCAGTGAAGAGAGTAAACAAAAACTTCTGCTTTCATGAAGCTTATATTCTGTGGGGGGGGGATGGCTAGTAAATACAATAACTAAGTTAATTTATAGTACCTTAGATGATCTTAAGTGGTTTAGGAAAAAAACACAGAAACAGGAGATAGAGAATTATCTTAATTGCAATTTAGAATAGGGTGATCTGAAGAGGTCTCACTGAGAGGTGACATTTGTATGAAGACCTGAAGAAGGTGGGGGAGGCCACTTGGGTGTCTGAGAAGAGAGCTCCTGGCCTGGCGCAGGTGTGTGTGGCATGTGCAGGGAGCACTGAGGTGGCCGGGGTGGCTGGGGCAGTGGGTGTGGGGCAGTGCAGGGGCCATGAATGAGGTCAGTGGTGGCAGAGGAGGCTGACTGTGCAGGGCCTCCCGGGCCTAGGTGGGATTTGGCTTCTCCTTTAGTGAGCTGGGGGTCTTTGGAAAGTGTAGCACGGAGGGCTGGCAGGTTCTGGTCTCACTGTGAAAGGGTCATCCTGGCTGCTGTGTTGAGAACAGCTTGCAGGGGGGCCAGTTTGAAGACCTGTGCAACCACCCAGGGACCCAGACAGGACCTGATTGTGACAGTGGTTTGGATAGGGTGGTGGCAGTGAGGGTCACAAAAATAATGGGTCCTGGATATATTTTGAAGGACAGTAGACATAATTTCCTATGGAGCTAGATGTGGGGTGAGAGAAAAAGAGAAGAGAAAACTCTGAGTCTGAGGATTCAGTGGAGATAGGGAAGATTGTGGTGGAAGCTTGTGAGAGATGATCTGGAGGCAATTGGATGGTGAATCTGGGCTGCCAAGGAGAGCTTGGGAGATGGTAATCTGAGAGTCATGCTTGACGCAGCACGTATCACATAGTCAGTGCTCAAAGTGGAGGTTCTCCATAAGGTGACAGGTCCTCTAGTCCAGTATCTAAAACCCTTGGGGCCATGTTTTAGAAAAGCATTAGGTTGAACCATCTGAAATTGCCAATATCTGATCACTATTTTTTTTTTCACTTTTAAATTGCTTTATTGAATTATCTGGGAGGCATATATTTCTTTAATTTAAATGGAACAATTTGTAAGACTCAGGCACAGAAAGTTTAAATGACTCTTTGGGATCACACAGAGAATCCATGTCATAATCCAAAAGGATCCTATTTTGTGACTGTTTCATAGCAAACGGACACCAGTGTCTGATCACTTTTGACCTACAATAATAATAATTTGATATGGTTCTCCTGAATAATGCACTACGTATGCTTTATATCTGTGGTCCCCAACCCCTGGGCCGTGGGCCGGTACCAGTCCGTGACCTGTTAGGAACTGGGCCGCACAGCGGGAGGTGAGCGGTGGCGAGTGACAGCAGCTTCATTGGTATTTACAGCTGCCCCCCATCACTCGCCATTCCCCCCATCTCCCCAACTCCTCAGTCCGTGCAAAAAATTATCTTCCCTGAAACCAGTCCCTGGAGCCAAAAAGTCTGGGGATTGCCGCTTTATAGCACACAATGCTCTTGGTGGGGTCTGGAACAACACCTGCTAATCAAAACCAGAAATATTTCTGCCACCCAACATGCCCATATCGAGCATGATAAAGATTCCAAACAACACACGCCCTTCCAGGTCAGATTTTGCTGCAAAATGAGTTATATAAAAGCCTTCAGTTTTTAGAGCTCTTTTGGTTTTAGATCATGGACTTGCAATACGATCATAGTGGTGGTGGTGATTATTACCACTCCCATGTGGCGCCCAGGGCCTGAACTAGGCCAAGCGGTGGAAGTGACTGAGAGGCAGATTTCAGCTCCGTTTTAAGACTATATCAATCTGTTAAGATAAAAATCATGCTGCTTCCATGGGTGGGAGCTCCCTGTTTCAAGGTCAAGGATAGAACCTGAACAACCACTTAGTACTGGGGATATTTTAGGGGGAAATTCAATTATTGGAGAAGTGATGGGAGTTGATGTATTTTGCAGCTCTTGCTCTTACTGAGGCAGGATGACGCTAAAATCATTTCTACTTTCAGGTCTTATTCTATCTGTGAAACGTGGCCTGGGAGTTGAACTTGGCAGTTGCTAACGGCACTTGTGGCATTAATGTCCTCAGGGTCTCTGTGCTACTTTGTGTCTTGTCTTCACTCCAGATTGTTCCTGCACCTATCTCTGGACATCCTTGCTTACGTCCTTGTTTGCTGAGTAACACTGTTCGCAGACTGTACCATGGCAATTTCTCTAAGATGTGCAAAGAGAGATCAGCATGGGCAGCTGGGATGGGTCAGCAGATGTTTTCTCTGTTGCTTCTTTTTTTTTTTTTTTTTGAGACAGAATCTCACTCTGTTGCCCGGGCTAGAGTGCCATGGCGTCAGCCTAGCTCACAGCAACCTCAAACTCCTGAGCTCAGGCGATCCTCCTGCCTCAGCCTCCCGAGTAGCTGGGACTACAGGCATGCGCCACCATACTCAGCTAATTTTTTCTGTATATTTTTAGTTGGCTAATTAATTTATTTCCATTTTTAGTAAAAATGGGGTCTTGATCTTGCTCAGGCTGGTTTTGAATTCCTGACCTTGAGCTATCTGCCCGCCTCAGCCTCCCAGAGTGGTAGGATTACAGGCTTGAGCCACTGCACCCACGCCACCCACGCCCACCGTTGCTTCTTGAATTGGGAAAAAAGATCATTTTTCAGCAAATACTTCTTGAT